AGGAATAATGAAGCGCGCTCGAAAGGCACGTTGAGTGGCGACAATGGAGCGGCCATTACCAAAGTATGCCTCGACGGCAAACGCGCGATGCTCTCTTGTCCAAAGCATGATCGAGACTGGCTGTGGGGGGAACAAAAATTGAGGACCTATCCTTTCGGACGCACCCCCTCCCAGCTTCCTACCTTCACCCCTTGCCGTTTGGCTTTTTTTTCAAAAAAGTAAGTTTCTCTGCCGCACCCTGTACAATATCTTATCGCGACAAAATAACTCGATGCCTCTCTGTGTCTCAACAGTTAAAGAACCAAGAGAGGAGATATCTGGACGGGAATTTCAGTATCGCATTCGTGAGAGCGCGCCATCTGGTCGCGGAGTGTGTGAATCTAAACGAGTATGAGGCATGGTTGAAATATAATTTGAAAGAGTGTGAAAATGTGTGTGTGTGTGTGTTTGTATGTGTGTGAGTGTAAATGTGTTCCACAAAACGTATATCTATTTCACTTTAAATTCCAAAAGTGTACACTGGTTCAGCCACAGAAAACAGACCTAAGGTGTGCTCAGTTTGCAAGCATCTCTCTCTAAAATTAGCACTCTCTATCGTTTCTCTGCTTCTCGTTCCGCAAGGCCTATAATTATAAAACGCGAAACACAGGTATTCATAGCTGTTTTTATTTTAAAACCATCTTAAATAATGTTTTAAGATGTTAATACAGTCCTCGGATTAACATCTTAAAGACACTTAATTATACAGGGTGTAACTGAAATAATGCCCATTAGTGTTATTTCTAATAAAAAAAATTGAGATGAAAAGTTCTCTACCATTTTAAAATTTTCGCCATATTTTTTTTAGTTACCCAATGAACAAAATCAACATATAAGATAGCTTTAAGATATCTTTAAGAGTTTCTTAAGAAAAATCTTCAAAATATTTCAGAAAGAACATGGAAAGATATTTTTAAATTATCTTAAACATCGATTTTATCCGTTAATTCGGCATTCTTTAGAAATTAATATCTCGTTAACTATTACGAAAATTGCAAAATGAATAAAGGACTTTTCGATTTGGTTTTTTATTAGGAATAGCACTGTATAATTAGTGAGCGTTATTTCAGTTACACCTTGTATTTAATATGGTTTTAAAATAAAAACGGATTATGAATATCGCCCCATGTTTCGCGTTTTACGGTTGGTAGATTGCGCACTGAGGTGGTCAAAATCTCGTTACAAATGCTTTGAAACATTTTATGGACCAATCAGAAGAAAGAATTTTACAAGTTGACTAATCAAAAAACGCTTTAAAGCATTTGTAGCATCACATTGATCATGTCCTGATGCCTAATTCACACTGGGCGCAGCAAGTGTCAAGTAACGGAGTAGCAATCAGTGAGGCGATATTTACAATGGTAAACATACAATATCGCCTAGCTGGTTAGTTGCTGCTCCGTTGCTTGATGCTTGCTGCGTTCAATGTCAATTAGGCATTAGGCATTAGAGACGACGCGGAACAAAAATAGGCCAAACTGAGCACATAGAATCCTTTCACCACAGTATATACAGTAGCGCAACTCTCTTAATTTTATGTTAGCCAAAGGGGAGTGCGCATGCGTGAAGTAAGTTGCTCCCTCTCTTTTCCTCCTTTTTTTATTGCTCTTTTTCTATTTAAGTAAGT